CATTCATCCCACCTGAACACCATTAACACAAAGGTCACTATTCTGCTTTTTGCAACACAGAAGCTGGAAGAAAAACAACAGCCATGGTGGACAATAATGCAGAGAGCAGTTTCTATGTTTATCTTGGAAAGATTTGAGTTTTTAAAGTATGGAAAAAATCACTAGATGTTCTCCAGCGCTACCATCCATGTTTAAGGAACACAGAGCATGCTGGCCTGTGAACTCATTGTGTCCACTAAAGCGCATGCGGGACACTTAGGTTGTATGAATGCAGTTCAAACAGGAGATCACATACATGGCGAATATATTTAGAAATTTGAATGGCAACGCAAAGAAAATGATTTCACAAAAAAAAATTGGAATTGAGCATCAAGGCCTGCAGTGTGAACATAGTCTCAGTCATTTGGTTTTGTCTTCCTTTGTCTTCCTTCCTGTGCATTCCTTAGCACAGAAAATTAAATAATTGTTTAATTTTAAGAAATCTTTTAACTTAAGTGATCAAATATTCAAATAGATGGAAAAACCAAACCCTCAGGTCTTCAAACTTGGAAAAAAAACCTTTTTTGGAGAGATTAGCTTTTAAATATCAAGTTAATCAAAAGTCAAATGATCTTACTGACTTAATCTTAAACAAGCAAATTTATATTAAAAACTTGAGTTCTTTAGTGTAAAGAGGGTTTTTAAAACTCAAGCATGACTACACAAATATTAAGGCCTATAATGTCCGGAGTAGGTCCAACTGAGAGGTGAGGTGCTGGCTGCCCATCACCATAGCAGGAAATGATGTTAAACAGCCGGCGTTTACCGTTATGTTTAGTCGGATCACACCCAAGCATAAAACAGAAACAGCTAATGCTGGAAAAGGTTAAATCCTGGAGGTGGGGACGCATGAAGAGTCCTGAAAAGTGAGGGTTGGATAACATCTGGAAAACTAGAAATATTATTTTATATCTTCTAATACAAATCCCATTAAAACAAAAATCTGTACAGGTAAAAAATGAAATAAAACTAAATCTGGCCAATAAACATCACATTTCTAAGTATATATAAATGAAACACTTACACACTAGTTTTAAAGTCTACCCCTACAAATTCAGATGACTGACCCCTCCAGGGTTTATACTGGAATAAGTAACTCTGATTTACTGCTTTTTAATGCTCTTAAAAATCATTTTAATGCCATCAACAACTACCCACACACTCTCTTTCATTCTCTTCACATATATAAACAAACCTTTAAGATCAACTAGAAGCAGTTCTGCACAACCACGTGGAACAAGTTATATCTGATATAATATATCTGACGTTTTTTTTATTTTTTAAATAAAGCATTTTAAATGCCACCTATAATCACAGAATTGTAATGCCAATTAAGGCCTTAATTTAAAAATCATTTAATGAGCTTTAATGATGAAAGGTTTGTGAACTACTCTGCAGCGATGAGAGCCAGCAGGATTTTGAAAAGAAAGATTTTTATTGACAACAAATCGTTGTCATTATCTCAGTAATCTGCTCTCTAAGAACCCGACCCACATCCTTAAAGGAACAATTTAGCCCCAGAAAACAAAACCTTCATATAGTTTCAAGTGTTAATGAATACTCTTACGGAATCATGAGGTTAAAATCCTCTAATAAGCAGATTATAAGGAAAAACAGCCAGACTGTGTTGGATGTGAGGAGCTGAAAAGGGGCGGCTGCAGTTGGAAACCTTTTCAGACTTAATCCATGCATCTGTGTTAGTAGGGCAGGCCTGTTCAACAGTGGGAAGGATCAGTCTTATAAAGCAGGTTTTTGTTAATCGATAAAGCAGATAAAGCCAAACTGACACGACTTAAACCCCCAGAAAAATACAAATATGACCCAAAAAATCAAACTACTATAAGATGTTTACACCTCTCTGCGCTTCCTTTCTCATTCTCTGAAAACATAACAACCGTAAAACATCAATTTTAATGTGTTGATGATTTCTGCATTTTGGACATCTGCTCTTAGCAAAGATAAAATAAGCCACCGTTTCAGCTGTTGCGTTTGAACCACATCCCGGCCTCTTTGGCCTGTTTCCTGTCTGCTCTTTAAATGGCCAGGTAAACAGATTCTGTCTCTAACTATCCTCATTTATAACTATTATTTATGTAGTTAAAATTATACACCGTTAAACCTAGTACCTTACTTTAATGTCAAGATAAAATTACCATTTTTATTCTACCCACTAAAACCTTAAACTCCAGTCTACTGATCAGAAATGTGCTGCTTTATTTTAAACAAATAAACCCATTTAATTAAGGTTTAAATTAAATTAAACATCCATTAAACAGAGAAAAGCTGCATTTCCGTTCCGGTCTATTATCGCGGTAGTCTGTGTTTACTTACCGAACCTGCCGTTAGCTACAGGGCTAGCATGCTAAGGACTAGCATGCTAAGCTAAAGCTAGCGGATGCTGGTTTTTAAATTACATAAATAAGCAGATACAGTCCAATTGGAAGCAGGGGACATTGTAGATAATATTCACACATAATAAAACAATACGAACCATTAAAAACATGCCTCTAACACAAAGTTTGAGTAATAAATTTCCGTACCGTATTCTCAATTTTAGTTTCAACACCGGGCGTTGGCAGCTCCACACTAGGGGCTTCCCAGGCAGTTCAGCAAGGGCACGTACGTCTTGTGGTTCTACGTCATTACGTTTCTTCATTTCCCCCATAAACGGAAGGACAATTAAAGACTAATGAAAACAGCCCAACAAAGTAGAAATTTGAACGTTTTTGTTTCTAAAGTTCAGTGGTTTGTTTAAAATTACAGCAGGCAGGCTAAAAAAAAAAAAACTCACTGAAAAATAATTACAAATAGAGCCAGGATGTGCAATTAGTTTATTAAATGTTTAATTAGTTGGAAATATGTTTCTATATTTTATATTGGACAGGGACATTAATAAGCATTCCTGCAAATTCAGCAGAATTAACCAAAAGGCAATTTTTTTATCTGTTGTCCCTGGACAGATCTTAAATTGTCTACTTATAAGTGAAAAAATGTTGCTACATTTTAACTCCACTAAATATTTCTCCAGTTCTATATATGAAGTAAGGAATTTTAACTAAAAGAGACTGCATTCAAGCCTCTGTGTATCCCAACCACCCACATATTTCTTTTAAATAACACACAACACATTTTAGGAAAAACAAAACTTTATTTCAGAATGGAACCATGTGGCAGACGAAAAAAAAAAAAATCCATCTTCATGTCATAATAACAAAACACCCAGACCGTAAGAAAAGGAAAAACAGAAAGTCCAGAGCTGCAGGCGTCTTTTCCATGTCTAGTTGGACACGCTCTGCAGCAGCGTTATGTTGTCTCCTTTCAACATGATCCTCCCTGGGAGAAAAGGAAACAAAGAAGGTAATTAGGAAAGCCACAATTATGCAAAAAACAGTTTATTTTTTACATCAAGATTATTTCTAAACTGGTCTCATTAAAAACAGTCAAAGTCACTTTAAAAAGGATAGAAAAGAGTTTTACAGTTAAAGGTGGATCAATTTAAACTTTGTCGCAGCCTTCTGTTCCAAAAATACCAACATTTCCAACAAAGGCTATGGATGGTAACAGGTGGCTTTTGGCTTTGTACGCACTCCCAACTTGAATTATTTTATTGTAAAAGCAAAGACAAAATAATTACCTAAAAATGTCTTGCAACTTAGTGAAAACGAAAAATGTAAATTAAATGTTTGAAGCTCTAAAAAAATAATTTTACAAAACCTCCCGTCCAAACCAGACATTTACCAACCAATCCAGCACAGCCCTGCTGTGTTCTTAATTACACCAACTAATGGGAGGATCCAACAATTAACCTCATCTAAACAATTCCAAACACAATAAGTTACAAATTTTGGTTCTAAATTAACTTGAATATATTCTACCTACCAAAAGAAGAAAACTAATTTGATAGAAATGACAAAAATGTATCATAAATGGTCACAACAAACTTGATAATCACCAATAAAATAATTTATTCGAGGCCGATTCAATGTGCCTTACAAAGCTTTGCTTAACTCTTAAATTATTTTTATTTTATCAAACTTTGAACACAAACACATATTTCCTGCCAAATGTCAATCAAACTAATTAATTCATAAAAGTGGAAACAAAATGTTCTCAAATAAATAAAATTCAAAAGGCTTGAAATGTTTGGTATGCATTTTATTCAGATACAAATTAAAAACCTGCCATACTTGGGGGAAGAAAATGTTTATTTAAATCTGAGAGAACATTAGAGAATAAAGCCATGACAGAAAGGGCTCTGGTCTTATTTTTAGTTTTTAAGGCTAATGCTACATTCAGACCGCTAGCAGCACAAGCAGCTGGTTTACAATCAAAGTTAATGTTTGACACGCATCAAGGTGCAGCTAAAGGCCCTGCAGTGTCTATAGCAGCAGCAGGAGCAGAGCCTCATGAGCTTCTGAGGCACTTCACAAGCAGCAGCCATTTTAACTTTAGCTGCTGGACACGCTGCATCAACCAATGAGAGAAGCTGATCTGGGAGCTGGCAGGGAG